ATTCGCGAGCGGAATCTGTCTTACTCTCTACCCCACTGCCTTCGGCACACATCCACTGTCGAACAGTAGCAAGACAAAGTCGGAACGATCGCAAGTGGTCAAAGTCTGAGTGGAGAACGTAGCCAAAACAACCCGCGTGGCCAACATGGACTCTGCCAAGGTGCGAAGTCTCTGATATCACCTAGGTGAGAGCCATTGCAGCCTGACCACCAGCCCTGAGCGGCACCAAGTTACCCGGTCAGATCGCAGTCCTTCGAGCCACGATTCTTAGCACGTTGTGATATTTAAAAAAGTATTTCAGATATTTAAAGTAATAAAACTAAACGCTGCATATAGGCTAGGTCGACTTCACCCTCTATGCTGTTCCACTGGTCTTTTCGAGCAAAGCTGGCCGGTAACGGGGTTAGGAACAGGGGCTGGCGTGGCGCGAATTCGTTGTTCATCGCATGCCACCCACGGGCTCTGGTGTCGCAGAAGTAGGCGCTTCCGAGATTCAATTAAGGAGGAGCAACGCTAGTTCGACCCTTGTTCTAAAGAACGACCGAGTTATCCCACCAACTGGCGGTCTTCCAGGCCACATCTTTCGGGTCAGTGAGTGAGGAATGGGTTACTTTGCCCCAAGAATGATTTCTTCGTTATCGGCCACAATTTTTTCCTTTAAGCAGTGGCTTGTTCTTTAGACTAGAGGATGATGGGGGTGGACGCAGAATCTGGCGTGGAGTTTGCTTATTACCTGCGTTCCGTAGGCTAGGCCTCCAGCAGACGCGATTCTGCTTAACGAATGCAAGCTGTATGGCAATGTGAAGGCAAAGCCTTTTTGACATGCCGGGCTACCATATAACCCATTACTTCGGTTGTATTGGAGCTGCTCGACGCGTATATCTGGATTCATTTTTTCGCAGTCAGCACTCGATTATCTTTGTTCATAGGATATTTCAGACTACGAGAACTTGGCTATTTATATATTTATCCAGCAGCCTTTAATGTTAGTGCATATTTAACAAACCTAAGGAGCTGGAATATTTATCTAACGACGAAATAATACATACTTGATGTATTGGCAGATTTCGGTTTGTTGAATTGAAGGTTTGTGAACCATAAAAGGAGAGGAAGTGCAGACTTAGTTTGACAGATACACAAAAGTTTGCAATTGCTTCGCCTGTGATGTATATAGGCGGCTCTTCTTTAAAACATGATAATTTTCTGCAAAGGAATCCTGTTAAATGTTTTTTAGCATTCTTTCACAAAACCGGGCTTTGACCTAAAGTGACATGGGCGATAAATGTAGGTAGGCATACTACTTCAAAAGTATTTTATTTCCATGAAACTTATGCAGGTGCCGGAACCTTGCGCTTGATAGTATTTACTCTGACGATTATTAAAGCAGTTTTATGCAATTAAACGTTTTGATGTGTAAGTTCATCACAGTATGCTGAAGATTTCTAACATTTGTAAAATTTATTAATCGTTGTCTTGGCACCCATCCGCTCTCATCGGTGGTCCTTCAGCCCCGTCACCATTCAGACATTCACGATCGTACTGACCAAGCTTTAAATGTATGCTGATTTGCATGTGGGTGGTTTCGGTATGCAGTAAGTTAATAGGAGGTGGTTAATGGGTGGTGCATCCTAAACGGGCCGCGAAGTAGATGCTGTGTA